CAACGGGGTCACACGAAGGCAGCGTTGTGAGGGTGGTACAGAATTGCTCGAGCAGTGTTTCCCTCTGTGTCCACAGGATCTCTGAGTTGACATTGACTCGTGGCCCCAAACAACATGGTTCATCGCACAGTTATACGCTATATACTTTCAATCCATTAAACACATGGTGCACTATGGGTGTCTTTATCCAGTCAGTATTTGTCTAGAATCCCCACAGTTACAGGTCTACATGTGAATACTGCTTTCAAAAAGAACCTTTATGTGTGCCATGAGCTTGAGATACCTCTTGAGCCAGTCATATTCTAGCTAATCTGTGTACTTAACCATAAAATGATTCTGACCTACATCAGACTTACGTGTGTAGAATTCTATTCTGTTGTTTTCAACTGCTGTGACCTTTCAACAGTAGATCCCCAGGGCTTTTCCCCAAACCACCTGTAGACACATTTGAACTGGCAGCCTTTTAGTGAGCTGCCACACGTGTAACTGTGTGGATCATGCAGAGACTCCATACTTAATGTACAGAAGTTTCCTCAGGTCGGCTGTAAGCCCCAGAGTATTAGTAGCACTTGGGAGTTTGTCTGAATATCAGAAGAGCTGTGAGGAGACATCATGGGCACCACAGATGACAAAAGCAAAAGGTCATTTGAAAGGAAAGAGAAAGACTAAAGTGGATGCCAGAAGCGATTCTGAGGCTTGCTCCTAGCTAACGTGAATAGAAATGACACGTAGACATGAAGAGAAAACTACAAGTGGTGGCTCAGGAAGACAAGTGCTGTATTTAAGTGTGCAAACACTAGGGATCCTGAAACCAAAAGGAAAGAGCAGGTTCATTATTTCTCAAACAAAAAAAACAAGAAAAAATTCAAGCTTTGAGGAGCAATACTAAAAGATTATATTTGTAAAACCCTGATGCAGAAAGTATTGAAAGAAGATAGAACCATTATTAAAATAAACAACAGTTTAACTCAGTTAATAAAAATTGTGTGAATCGTGGAGGGAGGGTGGGGTAGAAAGGGGGAACTGATTACAAGGATCTACATATAACCTCCTCCTTGGGGGATGGACAACAGAAAAGTGAAAGGAGACATCTGACAGGGTAAGATATGACAAAATAATAATTTATAAATTATCAAGGGTTCACGAGGGAGGGGGAAGTGGGGAGGGAGGGGGAAAAATGAGCTGATGCCAGGGGCTTAAGTGGAGAGCAAATGTTTTGAGAATGATGAGGGTAATGAATGTACAAATGTGCTTTACACAATTGATGTATGTATGGATTGTGATAAGAGTTGTATGAGCCCCTAATAAAATGATTTAATGATTTAAAAAATGTGTGACTCAATCATGGCACTTTTATAAAGATTTACCTATATGAAATAAAATTGACAACAGCTAATCTAAAGCACAGATGAGAAATCTAAGCATTTGAGAGCCCACATTAATGATGATGAGTAGAGATAGAATGGTTACACATGTGAGGTATGTAATCAGTGTTACTGAACTTTCAATGTAGAAATTATGAATGGATATAATTTAGCTGTTTATATTGCTACCAAAAGGGGAAAAAGTAAGGGGAATAAGACAGAAGCAATATTCAGAATTAATGTACCAAAAAGAATTAGTCAAAGTTCAACCATTTTAGGAAGTAGCATAGATTTAGAAGCACTAAAGGAAGAATGGGCATCCAAGTGGTATGCTGGGTGCACATTAGACTCCTAACTATAAAGTTCAGTGGTTTGAAACCACCAGGTGCTCTGAGAGAAAAAATGAGATTTTCTACTTCCATAAAGAGTTACAGTGTCAGAAACCTACAGGGGCATGCCGTTCTACCGTGTCCTGTAGGGTCACTATGAGTGGGCCTCAACCCATTGGAGTGAGTTTGGTTTTGGAAAGGAAAACTTCAAGCGCCACTGAAGCACTGGCAAAGAAAAGCTTACAGGAATTGATGACTTACAAACTAAGATGCTTTCATAAGCAATTGCAATGCTAGAACACTGAAACTATGCTGAGAAATTTGGAAGATAGCACTTGGCCAATTGACCAGAAATGATACTTATTTGTGTCCATTCCAAAGAAAGATAATCAAATGGGATGCACAATTATTGAAGATTGTCATTAATATCAGATGCAAGTAAAATTAAACTGTAGGTACTTAAATTACTGCAGCCACAATATTGACAGGGAACTACTAATGTTCAAGCCCACTTCAATGTGTGTGTGTTTTGTTTTTTGATGATTAGGCACTTGACTGGGAATCACAACATTATAGATAAAATTCCAAAGAATTGGAGTTCCAGAACAATTGTGCATATAGATCAAGAGGCAGTCAATTATTCAAACAGAATAAAGGAACACTGCTTGGTTCATCATTGAAAAAGATGCATGGCAGAATTGTATTCTTTTACTATGAAATAGTGTATTCTTTCACTCAATGTGTTTGCTGAACAAATAATCAGAGAAACTGAACTACACAAGGAAGAAAATGGCATCAAGATTGGAAGTAGACTCATTAACAACGTGCAATATGCAGATCACACACAACTTTGCTTGCCCAAAATTTAGATGACCTGAAGCAACTACTGACAGAGATTAAGAATTACAGACTTAGGCATGGGTTGCACTAGAGCCTGAAGAAAATGAAAATTCTCATAACTGTTAACATGAAATTATTGCAATCTGTTTGTTGCAACGATCAGTGTTTGTGGAAGCAGCAGTCAAAAAGTCAGGTGGCAGTTTGCTAATTTTATGTCAACTTGATTTATAAAAGTGTAGTGGTGGAATCCAACCTGTCAATCAGGTCACAGTCTGATGCTGTCTCCTTGGGGTGTGACCTTCTGATAGGTGGACTTAGGGAACCGCCCCTCCCTTTCTGCCCCTTCGCCTTCCCACTATTGGGGATTCTGCCACTGACCCTGAGAGCTGCTGGAGTTGTGCCACAGTTCCACCAGCCTTGGATCTGCACAACCCTGTACCCACTGGCATGTGATCTTCCTGCATTCTGCATCATTGCATCTGGCTATGTGAGTCCAAAGAGGGACTGACTTATGTATTACTATTGGCCTTAAGTAAGGACTTTAGTTGGACTGGGCTTGGATGTTTTTTGATATAAAGTTCTTTCTTAACACATATATGAGTCTCACTGGATTTGTTTCTCCAATCATTCTGGCCTAACACAGTTGGTCAAGACTGCCACAAAAATACTCTTTAAAGTATTAAAAAGCAAAGACGCCATTTTGATGACTAAGTTGCACCTGACTCAAGCTATGATCTTTCAGTTGACATATGCATATAAAAGTTAGATAATAAAAAACGAAGACAGAAAAAAATCCCAACAGCTAGTACCAAACTTTCCATCACCATAAATAGAAACTCAGTGCTTACCAAACAGTGAATCCTCATTCTCCCTGGTAACCACTGGTAAACTTTGTCTCTATACATATAGGTGTTTTTTATATAGGTAAGATAATATTTATCTTTGTGAATGTCTTATTTCATGATTTAATGTTTTCAAGTTTCATTCTATGTTGTAACATGTAATAAGGGTACCGTATATACTCAAGTATAAGCTGACCCAAACATCAGCTTTTACCACAAAAATTGCATTAAAAATGTGCTGAAAAAACTTGGCTTATACACAAGTATATGCAGTATTTAATTTCTCTTTTTGGCTGTGTAAAATACCTATTGTCTATATGTACCACATTTTGTTTATTCATTCATCTATTGATGGACACAGTTGTGTATGTATGGGGTTTTTTTGATGGTTGATTACTTTTATTTTTATTTAAAGATTATTTTATTGGGGGCTCTTACAACTCCTGTAACAATTCATACATCAATTGCAGCAAGCGTATTTGTACATATGTTGCCATCATTATTTTCTGAACATTTTCTTTCTATTGAGCCCTTAGTATCAGCTTCTCCCTCCCCATTATGTTTTAACATGTTGATGCCAATATTCAATATAATTGTTTTTGTTATAATCTTCTGTACTTTATATGCTTAAAAAGATCACTTTAATAAGGTTTGCACTTTTCACTAGTTTGTCAGAACATTCATTCCCCTCACCCCCAAATTAATAACAATGGTCTAAGTCAGTGTTTCCCAAAGTGGGCAATACTACCTATGGAAACAATGAAATCTGTAATAATTTGTTAACATGTTAATGCATCCTTCTAAAGCATTTTTTAATGTGTGCGTGTGTATGTAGACACTATGTATACTTATATACATGTACTTAACGTATTTGAAAAACAATAGGATTATATTCTGTAAGTACTTGCCTTTTTGTTATGTAAGTTTATTAAGGTATAATTTACATATCATAAAAAGTACCCCTTTTAATGTGTATTTCTGAGTTTTGACAAACATGTGAAAAACCTGTTGCCTTCAATTTGAGGCACCTCTGGTGATTCAAACCACCACCCTTTTTAGTCCCAGGGACTACTGACAGACGCATCCCCAATGTAGTTATCATGTCATCCCCTGAATAGTTAATATGTAGAACAATTAAGTCTATCCTCAAATCTTCTCATACCCTTTTTGTAGTCACAACTCCCCCACTCTCACAACCACGGGTCTCTCTCTTAACTGTTTTATGGTATAGAAATGAAATCATATTATAGTATGTAATTGTGAGCCTGACTTCTCTTTCTTCTTAGACTTCTTTTTTTTTTTTTTTTAAGAAAGGGGTCTTCTGGAGAAAACCGGAAAATCGGCCAGACAAATTCTTAGAGTTAGAACATTGAGACTGGCTTCTTTCATTTAGCATTTTTGAAGGTTTCTGGTTTGATGATTATGTTTAAAGAATATTTTATCAAGTTGGTAGAAATGTATATTTCCCCCCTAAGAATTTCATGGTTTAAACTGGTCTGTTATTTATTTTAATGTAGATTTGGGGGTGGGGGGAATATCCAATATTTTAAAAACGATTCCATTTAAATATACTCATGATCAAATTGCTAATATAAGGCTTTTACTAAATACTGGTTTCTTTATAGGTAACACAAGTAGCAAGACAGCCAGGACCCCCGACCCCTTCCCCTTATTCAGCACATGAAATAAACAAGGGGCATCCCAATCTTGCAGCAACGCCCCCGGGACATGCATCGTCCCCTGGACTCTCTCAGGTAAGAAAGCTGTTACTGGTTTTTCCTCAGAAATGTCTGGTTTTCTAATAAGCAGGCTATTAATATACAACTTCACTTGAATAGTTTCTATCTTGTCTCTATGATTTCTTTTATATGTTCCTTCTATAGTGGTAGATACAATTTTATACACTTCATGTTGACTCATTAAAACTTAACTGTGGTATGTAGTTTTCTTTTTATTTACGAAATTAGTGTGCAATTCTAAAGCTCATTTGAAAAACAGGCACAAATTTGCTCACCAATGCTCTGTGTGCTATAGCCTCTTTTGCTTAAGTGTTGGTAGTTATTTCTACTTGTGTAAAATGTGTGGGTGTTTTCACCTTTTGAATAGCTTTTTTGGGGGGTTGTTTTTTGGTTGTTGATTGGCTTGACTTTTGGTTTTGTAAATAGGTTATTGGAGTTTGTCCTGTGATGCACAGCACAGGTTGTAACACTGCTTTCAAGAGATACTGTTACGTATCCATGGCATTTTAAGGTGTTTCCTCAGATTTGGTTTAACCCCTTACCAACCAATTAACATGCTTGTTTGCTTCTTTTTATGGTTAAGAACTGACTAGCCTTATTAAGTCCTTACAGATTGTGGAAGGAGCCATGGTGGCATCGTGCTTAAAGAGCCTGACTGCTAACCACATGGTCAGCAGTTCTAACTCACCAGGTCCTCCAAGAGACAAAGGTGTGACAGTCTTTCTGTGAACAGTTTACTGCCTTGGGGTTATCCTATGGGGTTAGTTCCATTGTGTTCTGTAGGGCCATTATGAGATAACAGAGACGCGGTGGCAGTGAATATTAGAATGTGAAGAGAATCAAGCTAATGATAAGTTAGCCCCAAGTTGTTTGATATTGTCAATATTTATAAGATCTAATTTTTTAATAATAAATATAATTTTATAACATTGTTTAACATTTTGGCGTACATATTCTAGGCCTTTCAGTGGTTCAATAAAAGGAGAAAGTAGGAATTACCAAAAACCATGCTAATGGTATTGATTATAGGTTAACAGAAATTAAAATCCCCAAACCAGTTGCCATTGAGTTGTTCCTGACTGCTAGTGGGCTTGTGTTCAATGTCATTTGCGTGGTGGTGCCTTATGCATAGGGAAGTGTGAACCTTCAATTTTTTGATTAGTAGCTGAGCACTTAGCCATTTGTACCACTCAAAGACTCTGGATTATAGGTTATATTAAAAAATTCTGTTGCCATCAAATCACTTGTAAATTTTGTTTAACCCATGGGTTGCAGAATAGAACTGCTCCATAGAGTTTTCTTGGTTGTAATTTTTATGAAGCTGATTGCTAGCTCTTGGTTCTAAGCATCGACCTTTTGGTTAGAGATTGCGACCTGCTTTGGAGCCCTGGCCCTGTTGGAGTAGTGGGCAGCAAGGTCAGCAGTTCAAACCCACCAGTTGCTTTACAGGAGACTGATGAAGCCCTCTGCTCCTATAAAGATGTGACAGTCTTGGAACCCCAAAGGGGGCAGTTCTGCTCTGATCTGTAGGGTCAATGTAAGTCAGATGGACTTGATGGCACTGGCAAGATACCTAATTGTTGATTTTAAAAACTCTCAAACAAAAAGGTCAAACTCTCTCTCAACTGATGCAATTCAGACTCAGTGTCCCTATATCCGGTTCCTGAGGATATGCCGTATATACTTGTGTATAAGCCAAGTTTTCCAGCACATTTTTAATGCAGTTTTTGTGCTAAAACTGGGTCCCTCCGCTGATAATTGGGTCAGCTTAAACTCGAGTATATACAGTAAATCTTTACAGGAGCAGAAAAGCCTCACCTTTCTCCAGCGGATCAGCTGGTGGGTTTAAACTGCTGATTAGCAGCTGGTAGGAACTAATTAGTGACATTTTAGACTCTACAGTATACAATTTGCCAACCTTTATTTAGGGGGAGAAATTTACCATGAATTCTGTACTGTGCTTAAACTTTCACCCAAATCATTCCTATTAAATTTGACTTTTAAAAATAAAATATAATAAGGTGAACTCTAACTGGTTGGTTTAAATGAGATTTTCATGTGTTAACAGAAACCATCCAATCTAGTATTCATATACTGGTCTAAATCTGATCAGGTGAGAAAATGTGGGTACTATATTGGGTACTGTTGTGTATAGTTGCTGTGAATCAGATCTGACGCCCTGCCACCTAACAACCACCACCACAATTTGAATAGAGGATGTTTAACATTAGAAACGATTTAATATATATATATATATATGATAAACCTTAAGTAAAACAGGAGAGTAAAGAAATAAGAAAGTGAACTATTGAGCTGACAAAAAGGAGCAGCTGCTTTTCTTAGAGCGAGCTAGTGGCCCAAGGAAGAACCTTCCTCCACATGCCTGAGATGCAGACCTTACTGGAGAGAAGACATGGCTGGGGCTTGCTTAAGTAGAGAACTCCCTTCTGTACCGTGCCAGTGGGACTTGCTGGAAAGCGTTCCTTCAGAATTTATAAGACATTCTTCTTATATTGTTGCGGGAAGCTGGCTTCTTCAGCACTGAATTTACAGCAAAGAACTGCTGCAGTGCAGTGACTCTCGTAGCCTCCTTACATACTTGTCTGTTTTCTTGGGTCCTAAGCCCTAGGGAGTAGAGCAACTTTTTGCTGCTACAGAGTTTCCTCTTGTTCTCTTCCCTACTCAGTTAGAAACCTCCCTGCCTGCAGGTGGACAGCTGCTGGGTGTAAGGTGAGAGATTGCTCCTTGACACCCAGGGCTGTGATCCAGTGCTTGTGGAAGAGGGCATGGAATGGCTCACTAAAATTGTTGAGAAGTTGGTCTGGTCCCACACCAGCAGAACTGGGAACTTACAAGAAATCCATTCCATAGTGTGTTGAAGAAAAGCAAGCTGTTTGGGAGCACTCTGCTGCAGAAGATGGCAGGGATAACTCCTGGCCGCTAGGTGCTGCTGGCCCAGCTTGGAAGAAGCCTTGCAAACTAGGGTTGTTGGGCTGACTACTACCCTGTTTCCCCAAAAGTAAGACATCCCTTGAAAATAAGACCTACATACAGTTTTGCCTCTCGCTGAAATATAAGACATCCCCCTGAAAATAAGACCTCCCCGAAACTACCGTGACTCTGGACCATAGCGGAGGGTGCTTCGCAGCTCACTGTTGGCCGCAGCCCAGCTGGAGCAGACAGGAAGTGCGAGGTCTCTTTTATTAAAACAATAAACAATAAGTGTGTACCATATTCTTCATGTAAAAATAAGACATCCCCTGAAAATAAGACCTAGTGCATCTTTGGGAGCAAAAATTAATATACGACACTGTCTTATTTTGGGGGAAACAGGGTAACACTGCAGGAACCGGGAAGCAAAACCCTTTCTTTCTGCAGTATCTGTATAGCTGCCTCTACTGACAAAGCTTAACATTGTACTATTCCAAAGGGACACTATTTAGAGCCCAGATTCCTTTTCGCAGAGCCGGTTATAGACATAGTTAATTTGGATCTGAAAGGCAAGAGATTGATAACTGGCAGGTGGGGACAGAGTTTAGTTTTCCATCTCAACTTTTTGCTGTTGTAATGTGACTCAATCAGTTGGTCTTAAACACTTAAAATTTTTCAAAATGAGAGCTGCCCACATATGCATCGTTTGTTTTTTAAGATCGGGTGGTCTTTGAGTGGTTTCAGTGTTAAACCCACATTTTATCTGTTGCTTTTAGAAATTAGAGTACATGAATGCCAGAATGCCAGGGAGAAGGACCACCAGACATCACTTGCTTTCCCTCGTAGTCTGTTTTGCTACCACATTTTGTTTGATGCTACCAGATTTGATACTTTCTGGTTGCATGACATAGAGTAAATTATTTAATATATGTCATCTAGGGGAAATTAGAATTATACCACCTTTAAAGATGGTTGCTAGGATTATGTATAATCTTGCCTCACAAGAGGGCACCTTAAATGTTCTCAGTAAATGGGCATTTCTTCTGTTCTTCTTACCTGTCAGACTCGATGCACTTCATGATGTGTGTGTAGCCTTGTCTGCTGACCATTCTGATTTGGTTACCCTTCTGGTATTAGTATGAAACTCAGCCTCTCCCCACAAATTTGAGACATCGTTCAGATCTTACTTTATTCCTGGTATTAAGACAAAGGTAGGTGCCTGGAAATAGTGTGATTTATTCTTGTGCAGAAAACTGTTCGATTCAAATAAATTCATGAATGATAAAACTCATGACCATCAGTTGATTCTTACTCACAGTGAATGTCTGAGACGTAAATCTGTATGGGAGCAGACAGCCTCATCTTTCTCCCAGAGTGTCATGTGGGTTTGAACTGCTGACTTCGTATTTGCAGCCCAACACCAGAGCTCCTTAACTGATCAGGAAAGTTATTCTTTGACCCCGTGTCCATTTGATGTGACAGCATCACTTTCCTCTGTGAGTCATCTTCTATCCAAAGTAACCACTTGTACTCGAATCTCTGTATTGCTTCGTGTATGACGCTAACATGGCCCAAGCATGGAAACAATTTTGAGGGTGGCGTAGGACTGGGCAGTGTTTCGTCCTGTTGTACAGAAGGTCACTCGGGGTCAGAACCGACACAATGGCACCTCACAACAGCCACCAGGCACTAAATGCATCTATTACGGTTTAGATTCAGAGAAGCTGAAGGAAAGGGAATGCCATAGCTTTAAAACAAAAGAGAGGAAATTGCTCCATCTGTCCCTTTCCATCATCAGTGGCAGCCTCTTCCTGCCTGCCTTCCTTTAAGTCAGATGCACGCATGCACACACACGTGCATATTTCTTTATTACATGATTTCTACTTTCTAGCTTCCTTCACCCCCTCTCACTGTTTAATTAAGAGATTTTATCAGTAGAAATTGACAGTTAAAATTACATTTTGAAACATTAGTGAAACATTCGTAGAAACAATCTTTTTCAGTTTCTTTAAACAGATGCATTTGAACAGCCTCTTAATTTAGAATGCCCTGCTCTGGCAGTGGTGAATGATGAGGAATCGTAA